GAAGGTATTTAGGACCAGATTTGCCAAAATGAAACATAAGTAAAATTGAAAATAAATGACTTAGTAAATTAATATATGAAGTAGAATTGCAAAGAATAATGATGAATCTAAAAATAAATAAATATACATAACAATTAATATATTAATAATTAAAATCTTATATAAATTAATGTCTGCATTTATTTATGTCTATTTAGTAATTTCCCCTTCTCACCAATTTTTGCATTTATTTTTGTTATTTATATGTTTCTTTATTAACATTTCTTTGTTTTTTCTATTAATTTATTTACATAACTATTAATTTATATATTTATTTATTTCTCTATTTATTTCTGTATTTCCTTGTCCTTTTGCTAATAAAGGGGCTGTCAGTCAATGATGTCACAGTGTCTTAATATTCCTATTGCATGATTGATAGCAGATTCTGTAGATCGATTGTACCTGTCTTGCTCTCTCAGCTGTAACTAAGGACCACACAGACATTTGGACGCCCGTCACACATTCGGCCTGTGGAAGCCATCGAGAGTTATTTATCAGCAGGTTTGTCTGTCCGTGCAGTTCTTTATGGAGTGAAAGAACAGTTTAATCAGCTCTTCTCCTCCTGGGCTTGATTGCTAAGCCTGAACGAAGAAATACAGAAATAAATAAATGAATGAATGAAAAAATAAATAAATAAATGAATTGATGAAAAAAAAAATAAATAAATGAATACAATCAAAAAAATAAAGCGAACAATTGTTAAAAATATAGATATGGAAAAAATATAAAAATGGCATTAATGAAACAAGAAAAAATACAGAAATAAATGAATTGAGAAATATATAACTGCAGAAAAGGAAATATGTGTATAATTACAATCACAATAAGCAGTATATACTTATTTTTTATTTATTGATTGATTAATTTACTGAGCCATTTATTTTTTAATTTTATTTATTTTTCAATTTGGCTAATCTGGTCCTCCATAAGAAGGGGCTGCACTTTGTAAATGCTAAGTTAATATACGTTTTATTGTATGTTTTCTGAGTAGTGTGACAAACACATTGAATAGTTTTTGCCCAGTTCGTTTATGATTTATTTAATGCATGTTAGTGAAATGGCTTTGGCACAGCGTTGAGCAATTAACTTAAATTAGGGAAGCGTCTGTTGGACTATGGCAGTTATCTGGCCAGTTTATAGTGCTTCTGAGTTTTTGTAAGTTATTGTTGTAACCCTAAAAAAAAGGAAAAATTGTTGTAAATAGTTGTTTCAAAGAAGTGTTCTGATGTTTAGATATGAAAGCATAATTGTAAGAGGAAAAATTCAGCATTTAAAAAGAAAGGGAGAGTCAAAGGTTGAAAATAAATACGTAGTTTTGAGAGAGAAAAAGTGTTCAAGTTTGGTTGAGGTGTAGAGAGCGAACATGTGCTCAGTACAACCTATTTTTAAGTAGGTCTATCAATTTTCTTTTATTTTTTTCTTGATTGGATAGATTAACGAGTTCGTTAGTGAGGGTCTTTTATGATTGGTTCCCGTGTAAAGGGGGCAGGAGAGTATGCACGTGCGCGAGAAAAAAGAAAAAGAGAGCTCACGAACGGTAGGAGTACGGCAAAAAATAGTTTACTTCAAGGTTTTTGGAGTAAAATAGGCTTACTACCCGCACTAAGTGTCGTATTGACAACTTTTTATGCTGTGTAGTAACGTTCTGCGACATATTGTTTAGTTAATATCCTAGCTTTCGGTGTGAAAGTTAGCTAGCTAAGCTAAAGTACTTTGGGAACCGAGCTCGGAGTGCTAATTCCGCCGTGCACTACCAGAGAAGGACTGTTCGTGCCACAGGAGACAAGTTTGAGTCAGCAAGACTGAAACGAGGAGAGACGTGACATCGCCCGGGCAGCGTCAGCCAAAGCTTCGGTGAGCGAGCGAGAAAGAAAGCCAGGGTGCCCAAGAGGGAGGAGGACCTATTGCACGAGTGAGAGAGAGACATCTAACGGGCGTGTAAGGTACCGTAGCGCTACTCTTTTGTTTCTTTTATTTTGCTCCTTCTTGAGTGAAGCGGCCGGTGTTACGGTAAATTCATTTCCCCCTGTTCCCCCTTCCTCGCGCATGTCGAAATCATGACGTCTTCAGTCGACGCTCCTCTGCGAGGCTTAGATAAGCTTAATTCGTTTGTTTCTGTACCGTAATTTCGTCCTATTCCTCGCGGTAAGCGAATTATCACGTTGTTTGTAAAATGACTTGTAGTTAAATACGTTTTAAAGTGTAAAATGTGGTTTTAGCAGATGTTTTAATGCTCAAACACTACATGGGCTATCTTGCTAATGCTAGCTTTGGCTTCGTTTTCAACTACTCCGAGTAACAGAAATTAGATTTATTGCGCCATTTCTGATTTAATTACCGTACATGCAGACACATTTTGTTGTTCAGACTTCAGTGATTTTTAAGGTGTATTTATGTCCCATATCCTCGCCAGTCTCGCTAAGTTCTGTAAATAGATTTGAAACATTTGTTGCTGAAATAAAGAAACTGCAGCAAGTTACACAGCACAGTAATTAGTCTGTGTTATTATTGTTAGACTATGTATCTCAGTGCACCTAGGAAGTTGGTTTCCCTGTAGTCTTTGAGGCTGAAGTCTTACTGTTATGGTACTAATGTGACTTGTCTTTACAGTAACTTTTATTCATATTATACCACGTTTAGAACTGAGAATACAGGGGGAACATCTTTAACTAGGGCCTTAGAAAAGTGCTTTGTATATTACAGCTGGAGTGGATTTAATGTACAACAATGATGTGGATAGTCTATATCTGTGCATAATTATTTCACCCGGGTAACTTTTATTCATATTATACCACCTTTACACTGAGAATACAGGTGGAACATCTTTAACCAGAGCCTGAGAAATGTGGTTTCCCCTTGTATATTACAGCTGGAGTGGATTTAATGTGCAGCAATGATACTGATAATCTATTTCTGTGCATGATCATTTCGCTCAGTAACTTTTATTCATATTATACCACGTTTAGAACTGAGAATACAGGTGGAACATCTTTAACCAGAGCCTGAGAAATGTGGTTTCCCCTTGTATATTACAGCTGGAGTGGATTTACAGTACAGCAATGGTACTGATAATATATTTCTGTGCATAATCATTTCACTCAGTAACTCTTATTCATATTTTATAATCTTTAGAACTCAGAATACAGGGGGAACATCTTTAACCAGGGCCTGAGTAAAGTGTTTTCCCCTTGTATATCACAGTTGGAGTGAATTTAATTTACACCAATGATGCTGATAATCTATTTCTGTGCATAATCATTTCACTCAATAACTTTTATTCATATTATACCCCCTTTACACTGAGAATACAGATGGAACAGCATTCTCAGTGTACTAGTCGATTACAGCTATTAAAGATTTAATTCACTATTATATTAATTTGTTTTTATTTTTATTTTATTCCAACTGCTTCTTCCATTAACATTGTTTTATACAGAGACTAAACGGTAGAACAGATTTACCCAGTGACCCTAAAAAAAAGTAAGTTCCAGTAAAAACTGGCAATTAGGATCAGTTTAATATACTATAAAGTTTTCTTTGCTTTTTCTGTCCTCCCAGTAACTACAATGGATCAAAAATTTTAAACTGTAGTTAATTAAATGTTAAAAAAAGATAAATTCTATGTTTTACCATTTTTCTCAAATTGAATGATTACTACATGCAGGTGTACTACAGTGTAATGTTTCTTGATACAGCTATGTCATCTGTTACTATGTTACCATGTCTAATGGAAGTAAACAACTGGGATTTGATCAGTGTTCCTGGTAAATGGTTTCCTTTCCCTACACTACAACGGTACTATGATAATCCTATCATTCCCTTATATTACAACAGGTTATAAAAGTACTATAATAATTGTGTTGTTGTATAAAGTATGTATAATATGAATAAAAGCAACTGAGTGAAATGATCTTGCACAGATATAGATTATCAGCATCACTGCTGTGCTTTAAATCCACTCCAGCTGTAATATACAAGGGGAAAACACTTTACTCAGGCCCTGGTTAACAACGTTTCCCCCTGTATTCTGAGTTCTAAAGATTATATAAGATGAATAAAAGTTACTGAGTGAAATGATCATGCACAGAAATAGACTATCAGCATCATTGTTGTACTTTAAATCCACTCCAGCTGTAATATACAAGGGGAAGCACTTTTCTCAGGCTCTGGTTAAAGATGTTCCACCTGTATTCTCAGTTCTAAAGTTGGTATAAGATGAATAAAAGTTATTGAGTGAAATGATCATGCACGGAAATATATTATCAGTACCATTGCTGTACTGTAAATCCACTCCAGCTGTAATATACAAGGGGGATCCACTTTTCTCAGGCTCTGGTTAAAGATGTTCCCCCTGTATTCTCAGTTCTATAGATTATAAAATATGAATAAAAGTTACTGTAAAGACAAGTCACATTAGTACCATAACAGTAAGACTTCAGCCTCAAAAACTACAGGGAAACCAGCTTCCTAAGTGCACTGAGATACGTAGTCTAACAATAATAACACAGACTAATTACTGTGCTGTGTAACTTGCTGCAGTTTCTTTATTTCAGCAACAAATGTTTCAAATCTATTTACAGAGCTTAGTGAGACTGATGAGGATATGGGACATAAATACACCTTAAAAATCACTGAAGTCTGAACAACAAAATGTGTCTGCATGTATGGTAATTAAATCAGAAATGGCGCAATAAATCTAATTTCTGTTACTTGGAGTAGTTGAAAACGGAGCCAAAGCTAACATTAGCAAGATAGCCCACGTAGTGTTTGAGCATTAAAACATCTACTAACAACACATTTTACACTTTAAAACATGTTTAACTACAAGTCATTTTACAAACAACTGATAATTCGCTTACCGCGAGGAATAGGACGAAATTATGGTACAGAAACAAATGAATTAAGCCTATCTAAGCCCCGCAGAGGAGCGTTGACTGAAGACGTCATGATTTCGACATGCGCGATGAGGGGGGAACAGGGGGAACTGAATTTACCGTAACACCGGTTCAGTTATTGTTTTATGGCCACACCAGTCTCAAGCATCGAAACAGGCCTGCAACGGGGGTAAAAAGCTAAACAATTTGAGTTGATTGCTGGCACAAACTGAGTTTTTATTACCGCTCTCTCATAGGTGTCAGAAAAAATAAGTACACACTCCCACTGCAGCCAGAGAAACTTTTGATCAGTGAGGGAGCTGTTATTTATTAAGTTTGGGACTTTTGGTTATTTGTGTACATACTTGCACTGTGCACGTGTTTGGGAATATTCTACGTTCTGGAGAGAAGAACCTGTGTTTCAATGCTAAGTTCATAACTGCATGTAGTCCAGCACACTGTTAATTGGAGTTCGTATACAGAGATTGAAGTAATCAGAAAACTAAATATTTTGTTTTTCAAGGAAATATTAATAAATATGTGCAAGTGGTGTAAATGTATGAAATCCTAATTGATGCTGTAGTTTAACTGATTGTGCTATTAATCTGTTTAGGACACATTTGGCTGTAACGCACAGAAATAAACAACAAGCACCGCAGCCCGGGGCCCTGTCCTTATTACCAGTGTGTAACTTTAAATCATGATTTTAAAGGGAAAGGGGCGCTACACTGTGTTAATCATTGGCAGTTAAAATTTAAGTCAGAGTGCTGCATGTGAGGGAAACGCTGTGGGGCGTGGGCTCGCGCGACAACAGGGAAAGCTGAGTGGGGGATGGTCTTGTGCTAGGGTACCGAGAGCTGCATGGGGGAAGAGCTAGCGATGGCGCGGAGTGCCGAGAGCTGTGTGGGGGAATGGGCTTGCTTGACCATACGTTGCTTTTTGGGGGAGAGCGCCATTATGGAGAGATGTGGAAGGGTGCGCAGCTATACCGTTAGTAAGTTCCCAATTTATATTTGGTCCATTGAGTTTTTTTTTAACCTCAGCCATAACATCCCTGTTTCCTACCTCTAGTTGTGGTTAGCATAGATGGGGGAGGGAACCGTCTGCTGTGTTTACAGTGAGAGTAGATGATTTTAACTCTTGCTGTGGTTAGTAAAGATTGGGGAGGGGAGCCGTCTGCTGTGTACACAGTGAGAGTAGATGGTTTTAAACCTCTGTGAAGCTGGCCCCCCATGTGTTTAGAAATGGAATAAAAATGCTACTGTTTGTTTGTGCCGTAGAAGTCATCGTTTGTGCTGGCACTGTTTTTAAGAAATTAAACATTACATTTTATTGCCTGTGATGTCGCTCAAAATCGCACCAAAAGGGTCAGGAAGTATCCACAAAAATTCCAGAGTGTTATAAAGCTCACACTGGTCACTGTTAAAATCTGTTGTGTTCTTGGTGGTTCCAGTAAATTTTTGTTGATATTTGATGAGCATTTTAACAAGTGACACATTAACATGAGCACACATGATACACTGAAAGACCAACATTAATGTTTTATTCCTTAAACTAAGTGTAACCTCACAAAACCCTTGATTCATTTTGAAAATGTTTTTAAAGAGCAAAGTGGTAATTTCTAATCATCACTTTTAGTGATGATCTTGACTTCTACTCAGTGCAATAATGAAGCTGAATAATAACAGTTGAAAAAGCCAGATGACTCTGTGGTGATCTGGGACAGCGGCTGCTCAGGAGGCCAAAAGGCCTTTTTTAGATCTTCACCATCAACTAGTGTTAATCCTGTGGTGATGTCGTCATTTGCAGTGACAAAAACTGTTTATACAACAACTTAAGAATTAAAAGAGCACAAACGTTTCGTTTAATGGCGCAAACGAATGAGATCATTTTGGCGATTTGGATGTTGACGGGGGACGGTGTAACGCCACTTACTAAAAAAATATTTTTAGCCCATAACCTGATAATTAAAACAGCACAAATATTTATTTTAATGGCACAAACCAGCACAAAAGCAGCATGAACGAACAAGACCCTTTTGGTGCGATTTGGACGCTGATCGGGGGCTGAGTGATGTCACAAGCAATAAAACGTAATGTTTAATTTCTTAAAAATGATGCCAGCACAAACGAAGATTTCTACGGCACAAACGCAGCACAAACGAATAGTGGTATTTTTTTATTACATTTCTTACCACATGGGGGGCCAGCTTCACAGAGGTTGGGTACAACTCTAGCTGAGGTTAGTATAGATGGGGGAGGGAGCAGCCTGTTGTGTATACAGTGAGAGTGGATGGTTTAACTCTCGCTGTGGTTAGTATAGATGGGAAAGGGACCCGTCTGCTGTGTATACAGAGAGAGTGGATGGTGTATGGATGGGGAGGGAATGGCCTGGCTTAATAGGTGAGAGCAAAGTCAAGTCAAAGTTTATTTGTATAGCGCTTTTCACAACAGGTGTCACAAAGCAGCTTTACAGAAAAATCCAGGTCCAAGCCCCCATGAGCAAGCCAATGGCGACAGTGGCAAGGAAAAGCTCACTAAGGGCAAGAGGAAGAAACCTTGAAAGGAACCAAGACTCAAAAGGGGAACCCATCCTCTTCTGGTCGACAACGGATAGCAAACAGCATTAGTATAAAATTTTAGAATACAAAACGGGGAAAAACAGGCGGAGCAAGGGTTAATTAGATAGTTTGAGTTTATGCAGCAGCAGGAGGGTCAGTTCATGAAGGTGAGGTTTGCACAGCATTAGAGATGAAACAGTATTAAAATTTCATATCACGATTATCATGACAAATTATCACGATTATCGGTATTATTGCGATATTGTTCAAATGTGTAAAATAAAAAGTAAAATAAAAAAATAAATACTGATACACAAACTGAAACTCGTTTCACTAACTTTTATATTAACACAAATAGAATTGGCAGCAATATGCACTTTTTGTTTGCATAAACATTCAAAAATAAGGTCAGTACATTTTTAGTATTACTTTTGTATTACTTACAATACTTGTAATACTCTGTAAACAAAAGAATAGCATATGTATTATTATTATTACTGTTATTACTATTATTATTACTGTTGTAATTTTTTTATTATTATTATTATTATTATTATTGTTATTATTATTAATTACAATAATTAGGGATTTCCCTGCATAGAGAATTAAATCTCGACCAACTCTAAGGTGGGTCTTAATTGAAAATTACTACTTCTAAGAAGTGCTGCACTCGGGGGATTTCTGTCCTAACTGCAGCATTATTGTGCCGTTGTGGGGCTGTACCCCTAATCAACACAGTGCACCAGGAAAAACAGCCAAAATCACAGAAAATTGCATGACCGTGCTGTGAACTGCAGACAGTCTGTCTTCACCTGTGGAGCTGCTTCTCTAAAAGCATTTTAAAACTAAAAAATAAAATTAACGTGCATCTGAGCTGTGGCAGAAACACTCCTGAAGTTTAATCTCTGAAATTCTGCTTTTCCTAAAAGCAGCACACAGCCTTTACTTGCGCAAGGTCCCGTCTCAAAGCACACTATCTTCCCTATGTAGTGCACTTCGTGGATCATGAAATAGCAAATCCTTCACCCAAAGAGTGCATGAAATGTTTACAATAACAATATATTAACAATAGGTTACAAATTCCCTATTTATAACTCAGCTGCTTGTTAATGATGATCGTGTTTGAACAGTAGCGCACTATATAGGGGACATTGAGTGATTTGAGACAGTGTTATTTTCTTCTCAGACAGTAAACACTGCAAGCGAGACAAGAGAGGGGAGCTGTGCAGATTGAACTTTTGCAGCATCTTGTTCCAGAGCTTGTGTGAGTTAACTCAGAGCTCATTTTGGAGACACTGCTCCACAGAAATGTGTTAAAAGCTTTAGTTTTGATTCACAGTTGATTCACTGATTTTTTTATTTTATTTTATTTTATTTTTTTTGACACTAAAAGCTTCATTTAACATTATTAACGAACAACGACATTTCTTCTATTTCGAAGTCCCCAGGGACTTCTCCGTTTGATGTGTTGCCCCCTTTCGCCGCTATTTTCTTTCGGCCTGTTCTGCAGACAGGGTGGTCATCTGCAGACAGGGTGGTCATCTTCAATTAACTTTCCTTCTGCATTCTTATAAAACCCAAAACATGACCAAATGTCAGACTTGGTCTTCTTAGAAGGCTGAAATATCTCCGAATCACCGAGTTTTCACACCACGGTAATCGGCCGCGGTTTTAACGATACTTTAAAGTTCAAATGGTACTACTAACCGTCATTAATTTTACCGCGGTTTACTGTGAAACCGGTAACCGTTTCATCTCTACACAGCGTTGTACAGCGTGAAGCTCAATGGTGGTCAAAACGGTCCAGAAGACTGGCAAGCAGTGGGCACCCAATCAAGGCAGAAGAAGCAACAGCATCAGACCGCACAGTATGGGGCAAAGACAAGGAAAACACACAGAGTTAGTTCTGTAAAGAGTGACTGATTACAGATTACAGTATTAACAGAGTGCAGCACAGACTCCGGCAGGTCTAGATATTACAGCCTAACTAAAAGGGAGAAACCAGAAAGGTAACAGAGACATGAGGGCTCCCTGAGATGTCAACGCCCCTCCACTCCACCATCAGCAAACTGGAGTGAACACGTGAGAGCAGTGGGGCACTCCCAGTTTACCATAATACTCTATGTCCATGAACCCCCAGATCTGCACCTTTTATCTAACAGGGAAAACTAATTACCAAAAGGCTTGACTAAACAAGTAAGTTTTTGGCCTAGACTTAAAGACTGAGGCTGTGTCTGAGTCCCGGACACTGACTGGAAGATGGGGGGCTTTGAATGAGAAGGCTCTCCCCTCTGATGTAACTTTATTAATTCTAGGTACTAATAGTAAGCCAGCAAGTTGTGAGCCATCTAAGTAAGGCGTGATGGTTGATAGTATGAGAGAAGTTTACTCAAGTACTGAGGGGCAAGTTCGTTTAGAGCTTTATATGTCAGTAAAAGAATTTTGTAATCGATGCGAAATTTGGCAACCAGTGTAGGTTTGATAAAACTGGGCTGGTATGGTCAAACTTTCTAGTTCTTATGAAGACTCCGGCTGCAGCGTTTTGGACTAACTGGAGCTTTTGCTGGAACATCCAGACAGCAGGGCATTACAGTAATCTAGCCTTGAGGTAAATGCATGAACTAGCTTTTCTGCGTCCTGTAGAGACAATGCATTTCTTAATTTAGCAATATTGCGGAGATGCAGGAAGGCTACTCTAGTAATATACATTATATGTGAATCAAAGGACAGATTGGGATCTATCGTGACACCAAGATTTATACAGATGAACCTGACACAACTGGGGAAACTATCAAGTTTAAGTGTCAAATTAGAGTTAATGAGTTAAGTAGGAGAAAGTTATTCTACATCCAGTCTTTTATGTCTTTTATACAGTCCTCAGTCTTGCTAAGTTGAATTTTATAATCTGGTTTGCTTGATATATATAAGTGTGTCATCGGCCTACAGAGACAGTAGAGGGTTCTTGTAAGGGGGTGATCACATACATCATATGGATTATTGGGCCAACATTGACCTTTTTTCTTCAAATAGCAAATGTACTCCTTATTAAATGACCATTAACTGAAATTTAAGTGTCTATAGCCTTGTCTACATACACAAGGATAATCATTAAAAATATTTTCTCTACAAAGCATGGAGTGTGGCATTGTTTTTTCGTCTACTAGGCCTTGATGCAGTAGCTAATCTATAGTCCCAATAAGAAAGTTAGCAACATTGTTAAATACTATAATACAGTTTATTTTATCATGCTAGAACAAAATGTCACACTTAGTTAACAGACTCTAAATTGAAAAGATTTTTTATTCCCTTTATGTAACATATTTACATTGATGCTTACTCAAAGGGCAGTGTTAAAGAAACATGTCAAAGAGAAGAACAAGATGTAGTCCTGTGCATGATGCTATTGTACATGTTCTTTCCAGAAAAGACAGACAAATCTTGGTTTGAAGAAAGGTTTATCACCTCTTATAAAGGTATGCCTGAATGTTACAGCAGTTCCAAAACTATTACCTTCATAAATAATTATTTTAAGTAGCTGCATGCATACATGGTGAAGATGTGGAGATGTCAGTTTGTCTTTAGCTTCAAGCACTTTGGCTCTGATATTGTCAAAGGTACAAGAAAAAGGAAAGTTTAAAAGACATTTCACATGCACTCATTGGCTTTCTATTAGGAACATTAAGTATACCTCCCTTCTAACACACTGGAATTGTCTATCTTTAAACACAGATATCTAATCATGATATTCCATGTACAATGTACAGTTTTTCAGGTATTTTATGAATTTATTGATACTTTTGTAAAACATTTTAATATTGTGCCATTCCTCATCTTTTCTGTTTTTTTTTTCTGTAAATGGAATTCTTGTCCAGACAATGTTTGGACCAATAGAATGTACATATTACACATTCTTGAATATTAGGCTTATGAGGGATTTAGGCAGACACTTAAGAAGTTCTTCTTAAAGTGCTTCATGTTTTGTAAAGAAAGCCTCATCTTTCTGGTGCATTCCCTCCCAAAGTGGTGCTGCCTTATTTTATTATCTTATCAAAGATACGTTTCAGAGCATATCTTATTGAGGCAAACATCAAAATTTTAGAATTAGCTGTTAATCCATAACTCCAAAGGCAGAATAACATTTGGATGCATGATATGACACCGGTGTTTTACCACAAAACCTGTAGGCAATTGTGTATTGTCAAACAATGAGTAGACCTTGTAAGTCTGATGTCTTTTCTCTTTCAAAAATTATGGTCAAGTACTTGAAGTAGAGCTGGGCGATATGGCCAAAAACGTTATCACGATAAACAAAATTCATATCGTTCGATATCGATACATATCGCGATAAATGTCAAATCATTATTTCTTTAACATTTGAAGGCTGATTTTGCTCCTGGGTGGTTAATTGTGGTTTTAAACTATCATTTATGGTCAGATCATGACAGCCACTCACCAAACAGTGGAACATTTCACAAATCTGTCATGGGACAGTGGGAGAAAGTTTCTGAGCTGTTTTTATCAGCTGGAAAAGCACAGCTGCAATTTTTGTAATAGTCATAATTTAAGAGAGAAAACATTATTTTTAGCTGTCTGGTGACGAGCGCTCGGCTATCCCGTTACAAAGGCTAAACAAGTGGCCAACAACAGTGCTAAACTCTTTAGTTTCTCAACAACGTCAACTTGGTCACTCCTACCACATCCATGTCAGAGCATATCACAGTATTCAGACACCAGCTAGCAGACGACTGGATTTCTCTATGCTATCGTAGTAGTTTAAGGGGTGAACCGCAAAATGTCTGACGTTCGCTGTGTAAAAGCATTATCTGCATTGTGAATCTCTCGCACCAGTCAAACAGAGTCCTCCTTTTAGGTATGTTAGGGGTGATTTTGTGTCTTGTTTGATCTACCGTATCATCAATTCACTGTGTTGTGCCGGAGCGCCAGAGCACCGGAGCGCTGCTTCAAGTTAGCCAGCAGCTAAAAACAGCTAGCCTGGAAAGCTAACCTAACGCTCTCCCGCTTCCCAATGCCTCACAGCTTCCTCAGTTTACTTTCATTTAAATCAGGGCTGTAACTCACATTAACCTCAAGAATGCAGTAATACTAACATATGACGGTTTGGTGTTGTAACACGGCGCTGCATACGTGATTTAACACCGCTAAAGTTGTTAGGATGCATGGAAAGAGGTGAGTTCGCTGTAGGACAGTACAGTTACGTCACTGATCTCGTCACTCACACTCGGTCACAGGAGAACAGATCGCCGGTCGCTCCACTCAAACAGGGAATGTATAACTCCGCGTTTCAGATGTTGCTAAAGTATATTTGGCAACCCTTTTTTTACTCGTGGCCTCCTCCCTCTCTAATCAAGTCGAAAAACTCGGAAGTGCGCCCTCTCCTGGCGACAGCAGAGTAGTGTCGCTTTCCTTGCAGTAGAAAACACCGGGGCTTTCGCTAAAACGTGGAAGTGTGAGAATGGTGTATTATATCGAAAATTTATCAAACCTGTTTTATCGCTCTATTGAGGAAAAGTTATATCGTGATACTTATCGTTATCGTTTTATCGCCCAGCCCTAACTTGAAGTAACATTTGCTTTTTAATTAGCAGTTGGATGACACAAAATACTTCCTTTACATTTTGTTTTTGCTTTATTGTAGGGAGGGGAGTGTTTGCTCTTGTGCACGTTGAGAAGGGTTGCTTTGTCCTGGAATACCAAGGAGAACTTATTTCCCAAAAGGAGAGTTTTGAAAGACACAGAAAATACACAGAAACACAATGTTTTTTTGTTTTTTTTTTGACTTTGAATGGAATGGAGGCAGTTGGTGGTAGGTTGCTGAATGTTATTTTATAAATATTTCATCTTTCTGGCTTAATTCAGTTCTAATAGTTAAGACAGAATCACGTTATGACTACCTGATATTGAAATTAGTTGAGATTCATGCTTGAGTTGTAACTCTTGCAGTTGGTATTTGTAGTGGAACGCATCTAAATTATTTTTTTCGGCGTAGATGCTGCCAAAGAAGATGGGGCTCTTGGAAGATTAGTAAATGATGATCGAAGAAATGCAAATTGTAAAATGAAGAAAATAATGGTTAATGGCAAGCCACACCTATACTTGTTTGCAATTCAGAACATAGACCCAGAGGAGGAAATAACATATAATTATGGAGACAGTTCCTGGCATTGGCGTTCGCTGGTTCATAGAAATAACAACCATATATATTTTTAAATGAATAAATTACTGTTTTTGATGGTGCTTAGTTCTAACTCTTAACACATCTAATTTAATTAATCAGTTTCTTTAGTACCATTTAAATATTCAAGCTAGGGGTGTTGGGACTAAACACTGTACAGCAGTAGATCTCCATCATAATCACAATTGGAGTTGGGATCCCCACTTTGTAGCGAATTATGAGGTAGAGTTCAGACCCCACAATTTCCACAATCAGTGCCCAAAGAACATCAGTGTTTTTTTTGGGCACTGATAAGCAGAGTCCTGAGTCCTCATATCTGAAGCTCATGTAAGTACTAGTTTTAAACATTTGTCCGTGGTATTTAATTGAATGCCATTTCAGTATAGCCCATTAAAACATCAGGCCAAATTATATGCAGTATGCTTTTCTGTGAAAGATATGAATACATTTATTTTGAGGCATCAAATTCAGGCAGTTTTATTTCTTCTGAACACTGCATGTTTTCCAGGAATGCTGTGTGTTAGTCCTTCCTGTAATATTAAGTGAATGTTAAAGACACTATGGTCTATCCTCTCTTGCATGTCTGTATTGACATTGTCCAGACTACCAAGAGAAACAAATTATCTCATCAACAAATGTTCTTCTGGACCTGATGAGTCCACCTGGGGCACAGGTAACATGTTGTAGCACATTGACATGAAACAAGATTTTGGTGTGATTATAGAACAAATTACATGACCCTGTCTTAAAATTCATGTGTAACATTTAATGCTCATTTATTAGTTCCAGTGCTGTTTTGGGAGATTAATCTTTAAAAAGACTCCAGTGAAGACTGTAAGGAATGCCACTATTCAGCATATTTGTACATGCCACTATAATTTTGTTTTATGTAGTACACTATGGCTATATGGAAGCGTCTGCACTTATGCTTCTCTTCTCATTTAAGTGGCTCTCTAATTTGTCACCTGTCTGAAAATACCATTGCTAAGTTAATCACCTTATATTGACACACCAAGTCTTTTCTGGGGTGAAATGTGTTGATCTGCTTGAAGTCTTAAATGTCCTGACTTTGGACCGTACCAGAAGTGGGGTATGTGTGTCTGGTCCTAATTTTGCATCTTAGCGTAAATTATTTTAATAAATCACTGATGGTCCTTCTTTTAGTTTTTGTCATTTTTGTAGTATTATAATAATATTAAAGATAATACTAGCACGTCTGTGTTTGTTTAGAATGCCTGCAGAGATGTGCAGACAGCAGAGATCACCAAATATGCTGCTGAACCTTCTGATGGACCCACACCACGATTACTGCTGAAAAGGTAATAAACTAATAAGTATTCACATAATATTAACAGATTGATATTCCAAGACTTTTTCTGGGGTGAAATGTGTTGATCTGCTTGAAGTCTAAAATGTTCTGACTTTGTATCGTACCAGAAATGGGGTGTGTCTGGTCCTAATTTTGTATCTTGGCTTGAGTCAAAATTTAATTTAATTTTAACCGTTACTCCTAGTACTTCTATTTGTCTTTTCTTAATAATAACTGTTTACTGAGAATGTTAGCTTCTCAGCTGTCTTATTTTGCAAGGTTAAAGACAAAGTTCAGAAAGCAAAGACCAACAAACCACCTGATGATCCTTAGCATTGTTTGCCTTCTGATGGACAGAGAGCAGTAATCTTGGCAGCACAGGTAAAAATCGATTATTCCTTCACAGTTTATGAACAACTTTTTGGAAATCAGCATTAATAAACACGGTTACACTAGTAATGCTATTATTAAACAATTGTCTTAAGAATGCTCCAAGTTTTTTTCTGGGTGAAATGTTCTAGTCTGTTTGAAGTTTAAAATGTCCTGACTTTGTACTGTACCAGAAATGGGGTGTGTTTCTGGTCTAATTTTGCATCTTGATGTAAATTATTTAAAAAAAATCACTGTTGGCCTTTCTTTTAGGTTTTCTTCTTTCAGTCATCGTAATATGAAAGATAATACTAGAATGTCTATGTTCGTTTAGAATGCCTGCAGAGATGTGCAGACAGCAGAGATCATCAAAAATAAAATATTAGAAATAGGGGTGTGTTTCTGGTCCTAATTTTGTATCTTAGCATATGTTTTTTCCTTCAGTCCTAAATGTCTTTTTGTCATTTTAAAGTAATAGTAAAGCTAATGTGAGAATGTGTGTGTTTAGAATATCAACAGGGATATGCAGGCAGTAAACATCCCCAAATCTCCAGATGAATCAGAACCCTTTTTGGCATCTGGTGAACAGAGACCTGTATCCCCCTGCTGGATGGGTAAAAATTATTTGTTTTTTTTTCTTTTTAACTACAATATTAACACATAAGCAAAAAATTTGACTGTAAGGCTATGTTCACATTACCAGGTTGAAGTGGCACAAATCCGATTTTTTGCCTTAATGTGACTCAGATCTGATGTTTTCAGGGCTGTGTGGACACGCAAATCTGATCTTTTCAAATCTGATCACTTTCATATGTGGTCATAGATCAGATACGTATCCAATTCATGGCCATGCAAGCTTAATGTGAATGCTCAGATCGGAATTCATGTGCTTTTTTCCACTGCGCGTGTGCCATCATTCCGTGTTACCATAGCAGCATCACCGAATAAAAGTTAAAGCCTGTAAACGGTGGAAAAGGAAAACATCTCACCTTTTTTCGCCTTCATCTTGCTCTAATAATGAGCAGCTGTGAGCTGTTCAGTGTTAATTATCTTCATGAAGGCTCATTCTGACCGTTAGTTTGTTTGCTGATGGTGCATGTGACGCATGTGATTCATTCACGTGATGTTACGGAGTAGGATGTGCACATGCGGGTCATTTCAGGATGCCGGTTCGTTCACATTAATAACAGATTTGGGTCACTTACCTAAACGAGTGTGAACCATCCTGTCAGAGAGATCAGATTTGAGCACAAAATCAGATTTGAGCAATGAGGCTTGTAATGTGAACGTAGCTTAAGATTTTATTTGGGATACATTTTGACAACTAGGGGATATTTAAAATTGAAGCATAACATTTTACAGCAAATTCTTCCATTAGGTTTGCTTGTTTATGATATTAAATTGATGTTATTTTTATTGGGTTAAAAAGGTACTAATGGACTGTCTGTTTTCTCATAAAACGAAAGTTTCTGTAGAAACCAAAAATTTATTTACACCTAGGGAAAAGATTTTACACTCTGTTTTTTACAACTCCACACGTCACCACACTTTAGTCTGAGGTAGGTAAATTAGGGAATGTTCTTCATTTCCACTGGAAGTCCTTTCAGAATTATAGCTAAGAGTCTAACTTATTTCAGGTTTTATTCATGATATCAGATCTTCAGTGGATCATAAGTTTACATACACTTTCTTAGTATTGGTGGTTTGGCCTTTTAATTGCCGAACTTGAATCAAACGCTTGGGGTAGCCATACACAAACTTCTCACTATATATTTTTGGAATTTTAGTCTACTCCTCCTGACAGAACGGGTATAATACAGTCAAGTATGTTGGCCTCCTTGCTTGAACATGCTTTTTCAGTCCAGCCCACAAATTTTCTATGGGATTCAGGTCAGGACTTTGCGATGGCCAGTCCGGTACATTTACCTTGTTGACCTTAAGCCATTTTGTTACAACTTGGGGGAACTTTGGGTCTTCCAGCAGGACAATGATCCTTTGTTGCTTCAGCGTTTCCTAATAATCCTCCTTCATGATGCCACCTGCTTTCTGAAGTGCACCAGTCCCTTTCCCAAACCAGCCCCACAACATGTTGTTACCTTCATGCTTCACAGTTGGGATGATCTTCTTTCAATTAAAAGCCTCACCCTTTTTCCCCTAATACATAGAGCCGATCAATCATTATGGCCAAAAAGGCCATACTAAAGTTTGCACATGATCACCAGGACAAAGACCTAGTGTTTTGGAGTAACGTTCTATGGTCAGGTCAGACAAAACTTTTTGGCCATAATGATCAGCACTATGTATGTATGTATGTATCTTTCAATCCAAAGAAAATCGTCTCAACATTGAAGTGTAAGGGTAGCAAGATTGTGTGGCTTTAAAAATAGCTTAAGGACAACAAGGTAAATGTATTGGACTGGCCGTTGCAATGTCCTGACCTGAATCCCGTAGACAGTTTGTGGGCTGAACTGTAAATGTGTTCGAGCAAGGAGGCTAGACAACAAACTTGACTGTATTATACCTGTTCTGTCAGGAGGAATTGGTGTTAAAATTCCATAAATGTATTGTGAAAAGTTTTTGCATGGCTACCCTAACGTTTGATTCAAGTTCAGCAATTAAAAGGCCAAGTCATCAAAAGTTTAGAAAGTGTAAGTAAACTTATGATCCACTGACAATCTGATATTGTGAATAAAACCTGAAATAAATTACTCTTAGCTATTATTTTGAAATTACCTTCTTGTGGAAATGAAATACAAACCCTAATTTAACTAACACACAAGATTAATGGTGATGTGGAGTTGTGAAAAGTTAAGTTTGAAAGTCTTTAGCTTAGGTTTATGTAAACTTTTGGCCCCAACTGTACATTTGTGGATCATCTGTAAGTTACTTCAGATTCAAACTTTTAATGGCTCATGAAACCATCATTTATTCCATTATCTTAGATTTCCAGTAATATGGATGAATTTTCTGATTGCTCTCTGTATACGGACAGTGAAGACTATGACCCATGTGTAGATGGCGATACTTCCGACTCTTCCAACTGTAGCAAGTCTGATGTACATGGTGACATTTCACCCAAAAAAGTAATGAGAAACAAAGACAAATCAAACAGAAGCCAGCCAAAGGTGACATCAGTAAAACCAATCAACAAAACTCCAAGTAGGATCTCTTATACAGAAATTAATATAGGCACCTCTCATGAAGTCTCTTCGGTGGAAATTGACAGCAACCCTTCAAATCAGAGTTCTGTCCATGTAGCATCGATATGAGACTGAAGTACAGGCTGTAGATAAAAGAAGTACTGTCTTTATTGTGAGAAGCCGTTTTCTAAAATTTCAAGGCACCTGCAATATGTACATCGCAATGAATCAGATGTGGCTAAAGCTTTCAGCTTTGATAAAAAAATCTGAAGAAAGAAGAGTGTGCGTGCGTTTGTTGACAAGCAGGGAAATTTCATGCATAATGCTGTTGTATCCAGTGGGGGTGAGGGAGATTTGGTGGCCTGTAGGAGACCTTAAAAACGTGGATCCACTCAAGACTTCACACATTGCATTCATTGCCAGGGTCTGTATGCAAGGAAGTCACTCTGGAGGCACATTAGAAGGTGTGCACAAAATCACAATGTTAATGAGTCTGGGCCTGGGAAACAGAAGGTGCAGTCTCTCTCTTATGCCATTCGCTTTTTCTGCTGATGTTAGCGAAGGATTTTGGAAAACTGTAGTATGCCAGATGAAGCATGGTGAAATTTCTGATGTGATCAGGAATGATAAATACATACTTCTGTTGGGAGAACAGATGTTCATCAAGTTCCACGAAAAATTATTTATATTCGTCAGAAAATGAGGGAAGTGGGGAGCTTGCTCTTGGAAGAAGAATGACACGTATGAAATGTATAGAAGATATTGTCTTGCCATCAAATTACCCCCATGTCATCAATGCCAGCTGGCTCCAAAGCTTGGCCACAGTTTAGGAAAAATAGCAACTTTGGTGGGATGCAATGCAATAATAAAGGGCCGAGAGCGTCTTGTTGAGGATGCAAGGAACTTCAAGGTTTTGCAGGAGTACAAATGGAATGAATCCATCTCAGCAGCAGCAGGAACAACCCTGAGTGAGGCAAAAATGAACAAGCCACAAATTTTACCTTTTACCGAAGAAACCTTCATTCTTTTCTAAATACAGAAATGATGAAATATCAGCATGCTCTGAAGGAAAAGTCTCATGTCAAAAACTATGTAAGCTTATACAAGTTGACACTCACCAAAGTCATACTTTTTAATGGAAGAAGGGGTGGAGAAACAGCAAGATTGAAACTAGAGTCATATGTTTCAAGAGAAAAATCACCAATTCATGAAGACATTGCACCTGGTCTTTGATTTTGAAAAGAAGCTTTGTGAGCATTTTCAAAGGGTGGAAATTCGTGGCAAGAGTGGCAGGAAGGTGGCTGTCCTGTTGCTGTGGCTGTCAGGTACCAAGTGAAAATGTTCAAATGCTCTCTCGGCTTATTGTGGTTCAGATGCTCAGCATGAGTACGCAGAAGCCTGTGGTG